AGATAATGTAACTAGGCAGTTTAAGATCCGAAATACTCGGTAGCATCTCACGAGGGAACTCCTCGAAGTGATTAAACGCTTTTTGCTCGGAATCTAGTGGGTTGTAGGCTATCGACCATCCTGATTTCAAATACGGCCATGGGGCTTCCCCATAGTCCTTCGAAGACCTGGTTTTCTCGAAAATCAGTTTTTCGAGAACTCTTAAATATAATCCGAACCTTTCTTAATGAGGCATGTTTGTAGGCCGCACATTTCTGATTAAAATGAGACATCTTCCAGCTTTGTACGACCTTTCTTTGCACAGTTATAGAATTTACAAGAAAAGCCCTAAATGTTCATTGTTAGCTCAAAGCTACAGAAATAAGAAGAAATTAATTTAGGGCTTTTCTTATAAATTCTATAACTGTGCAAAGAAAGGTCGCAAAAAGCTGGGAGATGTCTCATTTTAGTCAGAAATGTGCGGGCTACAATCGTGCCTCATTAAGAAAGGTTCGGGTTATAGTTTAGAGTTTTTGAAAATCTGGTTTTCCAGAAAACTAAGTCTTCGAAGAGCTATTGAGAAGCCCCATGGCCGTATTCGTAATCAGCATGGTCGATAACCTATAACCCACTAGATTCTGAGCAAAAAGCGCTTAATCACTTCGAGTGGTACCCTCGTCAGCTGTTATCTATCTGTGATTATGACACACAGTGTGTCATAATCACAAGAACTCCCTTATTTTTGACTTTTTAGTAAAAGCTAACCAATTTGAATAATGTTTTGATTAGCCGGAAGATTTTTCTATCAGATGAGGTGCATATCGCCCTTTCATAAGAAAAGTTGATAACAGAGCTTCTGAAAAATCTGACTGGTGTCAAACCAAGTCCTTAATATTTGATCAGAAAATTTTGTAAGCTATATAGCCTGATAGAGGGAAGAATTCTGAGTAAAATAAGACATCAGGAACAAGATGAGCACCGAAGTAAAATTTGCTCTGAAAATACAGCGAACTGAATGGATAAAGATGTGAAAACTGCTTATTATATGTGTATGAATAGACTCAGAAGAAATGAAAGATGAAAGAGAAAAAAACACTTATTGTTTACAAACGGCTTTTATGTCTTTTTATCGGTGTGATAGATAGAAGGGAAAAGTGTTGACTAATCGATGAGCTTCTTTTCACCATAACTAGTGTAACATTTGAGTTTTGAAAACCGAGATTACTGATTACCTCTTCCTTTCACAAACTTCAAGTACGAAGAGTGATCTGATTTTGTATGTTAAAATAGAATATTCTTATTAACTATTCGATATCGAGATTTTATTGCTGGAAGAAGAAATAGAGAAATGTAGAGTAAATGTCAAATGAGTGTGTGTTTTGCGTAAAATTCTTTTTATTGTCTTTAATAATCGAGAAATAAAAAGAAAATTTCACTCAACTGTGATGAATAGTTTCGACTCTTCCTTGTGTTTTTATCTCGTTTACAAAACATTGACTGAGAGTGACTTCGAAAGAATAAATATTTTCTCTATCGAATTAGTCACCATCGATAAGCTCGCATCATGTGCCTCGGCGAAATTAACACTCAAGTTGAAGTCATGAAATTTTGCAATCGTAATTCTTAATAAAATGTAGATGAATCACGAATTAAGTAGATCTCTTTTCTTTTTGCTAACTCCACTGTAAAAAATAAAGTGTGCCCAGTGCACACTGAATGTGCTCATCACGTTGGACTGTTTTTGCGAAGTGAACACGGCTTGTTCAGTGTGCCTGTAATACACTGGAATTTTCACATATAACTTCCATAGACGACGAGAAAAAGACCGAAAAGAAGAATAATTCTTCCGTTTTCTTTCCATAGAGAAACGCAAGCTACAAATTCAGATTACACAGTAACAATTTGCACATTACTTTGAACTCGAAAAGCACACTTGGGGAATGCACACATCTGCGGGCACACTTTACTTTTTACAGTATGGGAAGAAAGACTACTAGTCGTAGTAGATAGAAGAAGAAAATGTGCCAGAGGAAGTCTATTCACAAACAAACATTGAACAATTGAGGGACACACTTAATACACTATCAACGAAAGATGCCAAAATAATACATCCAGAGCCACTTAAAATATAGAACGAATGTTCGTAATATATACTTCTTGCAAACGTCGTGGGTATTGGCACAGTTGAGTACGATGAAACATCGTGGGAACCCTTGACACTCCACTCGAAAAAAGTTTGAATGTTTTGAATTCGGTTTTGTATGTTAAAGTGGAATACTCTTGCTAACTGTTCGGTATCGAGATTTTACTGCTGAAAGAAGAAATACAGAAATACAGAGTAAATGTCAAATGAGTGTATACAATGATTCAGTCCAAAAGATTTTAGAAATGTAAAAATCAAGAATTTGTCGTTTTTTCAGAAGTTTAAGATGTTCGCGAATTTAAACAATGTAAAGTCGAGAGAAATTGTGATTTCTATAAAGCTGATTTATAGAATAAGCTATTCAATGCTCACTTTGACTTAGCAGTAAGAGAATTTTGGTATAGGAGCCCAGTGGGCATTCTCAGCTTCTTCACGGCAAAAGCCTATGATGGTAAAGAAGCTGTTATAAAATTATCAGCATTTAACATTAAATATTTTAATTTTTCTCCTTTTTCTCGGCACTCCGTTGGAATGAAAATTTGAAGATGGTCAAGCAACAGATTGAGATGTTTCTTTAATTTAGCAACAAGTTGTTTATGGTACTCAGCAAGGAAGTAAACGACTGTTCAAGTGGCGGATGGACAGTAGTCGAGGAAAAGCTCGTCGATACAAAGAATCGGCTGAAAGCCACGAGAAATTCGTTTTCGATGAAAGAAGAAATATAAATAACGAGCAAGGTGGCAATCGACAATATAATTCTAGAACATTCAATAACTCAAATGTTGTAAATTTTGTCCCCATAAACAAACAAAAAAATCAGATAAATCAGCATCGAAGAGATAACAGTCAAGATTCAATTAAGATAATAAATGATGATAACGGGGAAATTTAGTTATCAAAGCAGGCATTGTATTACGCAGCTGACATACATGTGCTAGCATTTCGTCTCGAGTGTGAACCAAAAATCTATAATACAGATGATGGACGTAAACTAATTCAATTATTCAACGAACGTTTTCAAGATGATTTTTCATCAGTGAATCCTCTTAATTCAACACCTTTAGCTTTTGATAGTTGGTGGATTGATCGAAGTGGTAGACTATTATTCCATTGACTGTAAGTCTATGGTCATACGAAATAAAGTGTTTGTGTGTCCATACGCTGGTGTGACGGACGTGAGCACACACGGTGACAGACGTACATACATATAGTGACTGAGAGGTGTGACGGACGTACATACATATAGTCAGGTGGTTGTGAACAACAGAAATTGAGTAAATAACGCTTATGAGGTTTTCAAACATTTGAGAGTCACATAACTCTTGAACTCCTGCTGACTTGATAAACATAAACGCTTCTACTGCATACTTGGCTTCGAAACACGTACTCAGTTTGATATGTGAAAAGCTATAGCAATTGCTTCTGTAAACTAAGGTAGAAAATCTGGACGTTCTCATCGCAAAACATATGCATCAATTCTGTAGTAACAAGATGGAGTTACAACAGAATGAATAATAATTCCGACAGCACATTCATTCGACTTACAGGCAATGGACTTACTGAATCGACGCGATTCACGTTATTTATGCTTAACAAAAAATGTAGACTTATTCGTTTACTTATGCAATAAAAACAGTTATCTAACAAATTTAAATAATATAACTATCGTTCCTCATCTACCATCGAGATTGCCAGTTCAATATTCGATTCTATTAAAATTCATCAATAATCAAGTATTAATTGACGACGTTAAAAGTGAACTCGGGGAGAAATATAAATCTATCTGTGCCACTGAAGAGATTAATGGAGAAAAATGAACTATAGTAGACATTTGAGAATGACTGTCCTATCAAAAAGCAAGTGCAACTAATTTTAAATAGTGGAAAGATTGGTCAGCTGTTTGGTGCTACAGAATATCTTCAAGCATCACGTCTTCTCATATGCTCCAGGTGTAATGTTCCTGGTAGAAAGAACTATAATTATGGAACAGAAATGTGTTGTATATACGGGCAAGAAATAAAAAATAAAAACGAACATATAGAATGCAATATTTGTCGTCAACATTATGGCGAAAATCATTTGGCAACGGATTATAAATGCCCATTTATTGCTGAGTACCGTAAACAACTTGTTGCCAAATTAAAGAAACATCTCAATCTGTTGCTTGACCATGTTCAAATTTTCATTCCAATGGAGTGCCGAGAAAAAGCAGAAAAATTAAAATATTTAATGAATACTAAAACATATGAACAACAAACAAAACTAATGAGTGAATTGCAAGTTTATTGTACAATTCGTAAAAAAGCAACGAAAGTTAGCTTAGAAAAAATCTAAGTGGTGCATCTTGTTCCCCATCATTTACTACGCGTGTGGTGAAAATTTCCGAACTACCACGTGCGCAGTGGTTGAAATATTTAATATCGAAGTTTTCCCCTTTCTCACCGAGAAAGGTTTTCGAAAATATGAACCGAAACTTATGGAAATGGCACATATTATACACTATTTGATTGCTCTCGAGGAGATCTATCGAACTATATGATATTTAACGCAATCCAAGGAACCGCTTTTGAAATCGCTTTTGTTTATAGTCTTTATGAAATCGCTTGGATAAAATTTTTATTTTTTTTAGATTTTTCGATCACACAAACGTCTTCTGTTTCGTACTGTTTTATTTTTCGCCATTTAAATCTAAAACTATGTTGAAAGATTCGAGAAAGAGGCAAAAGATGCGGCAAAAAGCCTCATCGAAAATTTAATGAAAAAATGTCCGTCTACATTTTTTTGTAAAACTTGAAATTAGTGCACAAGATTCAAACGTAGAAAGCTGAACTTTTTCACTCTTGTACTCTATCTCATGTGAAAGGTTTGTCAAGAACGGATGGCTTGTTCGCGAGTTATACGCGCGAGTAAACAAGCTAAAAAAGCTTGTGCTCGTGAAATGAATGAAATAAACAAAAAATCTGATGATTTTTTTCAAAAATGTGAACAAAAACTAAAAGCAATTCAACAACAAATACAAAAAGAAATGTTAAAAGTTGTGTGTAATGCTGTGATGAAACAGTTATTTCCAACATGCATCCATTGAACTCAAGTAGTGTCAACGCTGGCGTCAAAAATATTGGAAAAAGAAGACGACATCAATATCAAAGCTGGCTATGATAAAATGATTGAAAATCTAAAAGTGAATGCTGATCCTTTGAATCAACAATTACTATTTTTACAACATACTATAAAATATTGAGGTGAAGCAAAGTAATGGGTTAAATTTTGGTATTGATTCATTAATATCAATGGAATGAAAAATAACGATTTTAAATACTCGTGACCGCATGTTGACATTTCTCATATTGACATTCTCAATTGCTATCGCCAATAAAAAGAAGAACTAAGATTGATAGCAGAATTCTGCTATCAATTCTTCTGCAGAAGAAAGGAATGTACGTAGGTCTGTAGGTGAGTTGAGTAAAAAATGGTGCAAAGTTAGACTGAATAGTTCTGTTGACAATCTCATTTTTCTTGTCTATAAGGTTCAGGGTGCAGACATTGATATTCCCACGTCGAAGAAAATGACCTTAAATAAAATCATTGAATGCTTATCTGATGATCGTGAATGACGCATAAATGAATTATGTTTCGATCATTTATGATCATAACAAGCTCATTTTAAGTTTATTTATTGTCAGATATCTGGCACATAATAAGGTCAATTATGATCTTAAAATGACCGCAAATTTATTATCTTATTTAGCTAATTTTTAATCATTTATAGGTCATTTTTACATCATCTTTCTACCGGATTATATCGGATGATCATATTAACGTCATTTTTAGATCATAACAGATCATAAATGAGCCACAATTGTATGAACGAATTATGAGATTAAAATGGCCCAAAAAAAAGTAAGGCGCTTTTGGATCATTTCAAGTTCATAATTAGGTCATACGAATGATACATTAATCGGTTACATATGACTAATTTATAGTGTAAGAATTCGATGATTTCTTTCCTCTGGCTTCATTCGAATATAACGTTTCTCATTTCAGAGAAAGCTCACGGTTAGAAACAAGCTCATTCTCAAAATTTAACCCCAATGAAGAGTCTCAAAGGCTGATTTTTCTATGCTTTCTCGAGTGCTGGATATCAGCCATTACAGCCGTTTTCTTTTTTTTAGTCTTGACCTGGCCAAAGTGTGAGAAAATATGAAAGAGCCTCCTATGGAAGTAGAGTTTTAGTGTTTAGTGCACCAAGCGGAAGCAAAGTGCAGTCGCACTTTGTTTTTCGAAATGCACTAGGTTTTTGTCAGTTTTTGCTGCGACGGAATTTGTAAAAAGTTTTGGTTTTAATAGAGGTTTTTCCAAAGTGGATTTGTGCACTTGAGCACTTTTTTCCAAAGTAACGTGAACTGCAAGCCTTAAAAAAACTTAAAAAGCGCACTAAGCTAAGCTTTGTGAAAAACAAAGTGCTGAGCAGAATGTATTTCAAAAAGCAAAATGTCCGTGTACTTTGCTTCCGTTTGGTGTACTAATCATTATAAACACTGCTAGTACATTCATTCATTCTCTCTTCACTCTGCTCTGCGCCATTGTTCATAAAGAAACATGTTAGCCAATCTCGTTCATGTCTCTTTGTAATCTGTGCGAGACTAATCTCTGTAATATTAGGGCAATTTTCTCTGCATTAGCTAAAAAAAGCGCATATTATGATAATTTCTACGTGATGTAGGTATGACTGAAAAAGTAAGCTAAATATGATGTTCAGATGATCATAAAATCAGCACACAAGCTCATACAAATATGGTCTAAAACTGACACATTTATGAGCTAACAGAAAATGATCATGGCAAGATCATAGTTACATAATTTTCGACAATGACCTTAGAATCATCATAATCAGATTATTGTTGAAAATGTCCTTAGGATGATCATAAAATGATGTCATTATTACATCATTTTTGGATCATCTCATGCTCATTTCAAGGTAATTTTAAGCCCATATCATTGATGAGGCATTTATATCTCATTTCTGTCTCATCTTCTTTGACTTGGGTGGTCATACTATATCTGAGTTCTAGACCTAGGGCCGCCTAAACATTTTGGAGCAAAACTGTGAGTAGAAAAGTTGTTCAGAATCAAATTCTAGAGTTTCTCATTAGATCTTTTTCAAAAGTTTCTTTCTTTGCTTCTTAAAATAGATTTTACAGCTTTTTAAATTTTAATATTCCATATTTCTGAATTCTGAAACCAAACAAATAAACTTTTAAAAAAAGTTCTCATTAGGAACTCCAGAACCAAACGGATCTAAAAGAATAGAAATGCATCAACAGAAACGATGTGTAGCCCATCTTTAGACCGTAGCCTTCCAGCACAGACAGATATTTGACACTAGAGCCTGTGACTAAGTCTTCTTTAGATGCAAGAAAGATCCCCACGAAAAAAAGATCTTCTTATCTTTAAGTGCTACAGCGTTTTTCTTGTAGAATCTGCCCACTTCTCTCAGATCGTCTCGACACACTTTGACTGGAAAAACAGAGTGCGCGCATATGCTGTGGGAAAAAATCTCACTGAAAACGCTGAGAGAAGGTGGATAAATAACTAGAGCTATTTCGCGCTAAAGGACGTGGGCCGATAAGGCCACTTGCGTCCCCTAACAAAACACAATGAATTATACATTTTTGGAATCAGTGTTGAATTCTGAATAAAACTGTCGCTTCACTTTTTTCTGATTTTCTATCTTTTTCTCAGCTTTTCTGATTTTGAACTTTTATTTTCTGATTTTCGTGTTTTGGATCTGGGACCTCTGGTAGAATTGTTCTTTTCTCAAACATAATGCGAAAAAGTGGAAAATTTTTTTTGCATGGTAATTGCAAAAAGCCCAAGCTACAGTTTCCCACCAGTTATGACAGAAATGAACTTGAGCGCAAACAAAAAACGTGGGCTGATAAGGCCACTTTGCGTCCCCCAACAAAATACAATGAATTATACATTTTCGGAATCAGCGTCGAATTCTGAATAAACTGTCGCTTCGCTTT